GGGGGTGGGGGGGTGCTGTCAAAGCTGTTTTGCCCGTTCTGGCTCCCCCCAGCGGCTTTGTGCAGGGAGGCTGACATGGCAGGAGCCCCCAGTGACAACTCTGTCTCCCTTCTGCCTTCTCCAAGGAGCAGGAAGACATTTACTTCATGAAGGGAGCCTTTGAAGAAGTGATCCGGTACTGCGCCACGTACAACAACGGGGGCATCCCCCTGCCTCTGACGCCCCAGCAGAGGGCCTTCTGCCTGCAGGAGGAGCAGAGGATGGGGTCGCTGGGCCTGCGGGGTCAGTGCCTGTGTCCCCGACCCTCACCCCACCTTAAGGCTGCATGTGACGGTGAATTGCGACAGGCTCCCTAGTCCGTAAGGAGGCGAAGCCTCAGCCCAGCCTCCAAATGGCAGCACCAGGGCAGCTGTGGCTCAGAGCAGGGGCAACAGCCCCCCCCGCCCGCCTGCACTGCTGACGGGTGTGGGCAGCACAGTGTGCAGACACGACCCCAGAGTGAGGGGACGGTGTGAGGGTCGGCAAGAATCTGGGCCACGGTGGGCAGGGGGCGCAGGGGAGGCCTGAGCACCCCTCGCTGTGTGCTGGCGTGCAGGGAGGTACTGCGGAGGCTCCTTGGCCGCCATGGTGATGCCGTGAGGTCAGAGACCTCGCCCCACCTCCGGGCCTCATCCCAGCAGCCAGCCAGGCTCCATGCCACTGGAGCAGTCCGGGCAGGACCAGCCCCGGAGCCCTCTCGCCCCTGTGCCTGCCACACGCCTTCTCCGCCTTTGGAGGCTGCTGCAGGGGCCAAAGGGCAGAGCAAGCCAATGACACGGAGGTGGAATCCGCCGTGCTTGGGCGCCGCGGGTCTGAGGCCACCGCTGACCAGCGTCTTGGGTGGGGCAGGCTGTCCCCGTTCTCTCCACTCGGGGGCGCCCTCGACAGCTGCAGCCCACCCGCAGGCCTCTGCGCCCGCTTCCACGCAGGCCCTGGGTGTATGTGGGGCAGGGCTGAAGGGGCTGCGGGCCTCCGTCTCTCCTAGTGCTGGCCCTGGCGTCTGGGCCCGAGCTCGGGCAGCTGACCTTCCTGGGCCTCGTTGGGATCATCGACCCACCGCGGGCCGGCGTGAAGGAAGCCGTCCAGGTCCTCTCCGAGTCGGGCGTGTCGGTGAAAATGATAACGGGAGACGCTCTGGAGACGGCCTTGGCCATCGGTAACGGGGCAGGGGTGGGCACCGCCCCTCCTCCACCGCGGCGTTAGCGGGGCCTGTCCAGCGCTTAGGGCGGCGGCAGTCATGGCCAGCGCTCCACCTTTGGAGACATTCGTCTTGAATGTCAGCAGGTTCTCCGAGGGGACACGACCCCAGTCCGCTGAGGCCTACTGCTCGCCGGGCTGTTCCCCAGCACCTCCTCATCCTCACGGCGGTAGCTGCCTCACCCCTGCCCCAGCTGTGTGGATGGGGCAGAGCATGGTCCACCGGACCCCTGGGCTCCCCTTCCTCGACCCTATGCTATGGGGGTGGCCTGTTCCCCTCGGCCCTACCCCCACTGTCTCGAGGCAGCTGGGCACCAAGAAAGAACAGACTCTGGACTTGGGCAGACGCACATCCGGTGGCTCTGGTGGCCACTTGCTGCTCTGCACCGGAGCAGTCACATCCCTCTGGGTGGCCTCATCTACCGGTGGGGGGAGCGTGGCCTTGGCCTCGGTGACCCCGTGGGCGGGAGTGAAGGCAGGTCCTCAGGACCAGGCGAGCACCCTGCTTCTCTATGTGCTCCCTGAGGCAGGGAGTGGTGCCAGGGTGGGTTGGGGCTGCGGCTCCCGTCTGGGCCCAGAGCAGGCGTCATCGGCTCCTCCTGCCACAGGAAGGCACATTGGCCTGTGCAACGGGACGCTGGCCACGCTGTCGGGGGATGAGGTGGAAAGCATGGCCAAGGGCCAGCTGGCCAAGCACGTCGCAGAGGTGGGTCCCCCCCCGGGTCCAACTGACTGGGGGGACAGGAAACGGGCGCCCAGGGCCAACCGCAGGAGCCCCGTGCACTGACCGCTCGATGGCCTCTGTGCCCAGGTGTCTGTCTTCTTCAGGACCAGTCCGAAGCACAAGCTGGCCATCATAAAGGTAGGCCGAGTTCCTGGCCGCCCGCCAAAGGGCAGTGCAGGCCGCACCAGCGTGGGGTGAGGCCCCAGCTGCTGTGCCAGGCGGCCTGTCAGGCCTGGGGAGGGGGGTGGCAGGCAGCCCCCATGCTGCGGGTTACCGTGCCCACGCCACCGTCTGCGGGATGGGCTCCATGGTGTGCTCACCGACGGGGTGGCTGGCAGGCGGAGCTCTGCCTGCCCAACTAAAGCTGCCACCCCAGAAACAGCAGGGGAGGGGCGCAGCAGGAAAACTAAGGCCAGCGTGCCTCCTGCGCCTCGCCGCTGGCCTTCCTGCTGCCTCTGCGCAGGGAGACAGGCTGGCACAAGGAGGCGGCAGACCCTGGGGGCTCGTGGCGCAGAGCTGCTGGGGCTCCCCATCGTGCACCCCGGGGTGGGAAGCTCTAGGATGCAGGAGCCTGGTGTGCCACGCGTGTAGATATCGAAAACACGCTCTTTACCTTTACTCATAGCTTTCTGTGTTACTTTGGGGCATTTTTTATTCCACAGAGTAAACCTCTGTGCAATTTATTCTGCAAACATCCACATTCAGGGGACCTTTGGTTTCAGCGGATGGAGTGCTGGTTATCACGCAAAATGGCCATGGGGCCTTTACCAGCTGCCCGACTCCGTCTCTGCCAGAGTCCTGGGGGCCATCACCTCACTTCGCTGCGGTTGAGGGCTACAGATGGGGCTCGCCCAGGCCCCTCAGGCAGCGTGGGCAGACTGGGCCGCGACACTGGTGGCTCCGGGGCACGTAGTTGCCCTCTGCCCATGAGAGGCACGGCTGAGGTGGGAAGGAGGGTCTAGAAGGCAGGCCCTCCCCCAGCAGGCCTCACTCACCTCTGCTCCCCAGGCTTTGCAGGAGTCGGGGGCGATTGTGGCCATGACAGGGGACGGGGTGAACGACGCCGTCGCCCTCAAGTCGGCCGACATCGGGATCGCCATGGGGCAGACAGGCACTGACGTCAGCAAGGAGGCCGCCAACATGATCCTGGTGGACGACGACTTCTCGGCCATCATGTCAGTTCCTCTGTGGGTCTTTGTTTAGTGCCAGAGCTGAGCCTCAGGCCTGAGGGGCTCTCTGAGAACAGGCGTTTTTCTCCGCTCTCACAGGAGCGCAGTGGAGGAAGGCAAGGGGATTTTCCATAACATCAAAAACTTCGTCAGGTTTCAGCTGAGCACGTAAGTAGGGGCCAGCGCCCCGAATGCAACGAGGGCTGCACCCGGGCCCTGCTGACAGCGCCCCGTGTCCGACACGCCCCGCAGGAGCATCTCCGCCCTGAGCCTCATCACACTGTCCACTGTGTGCAACCTGCCCAGCCCCCTCAACGCCATGCAGATCCTGTGGATCAACATCATCATGGACGGGCCGCCGGCGCAGAGGTGAGGCTGGGAGCGCTGCAGCAGCGCCGGGCCGCTCCACGGACTGTGCCCTGCAGGGCGCAGGGGGCCAGGGCTTCAAGGGGGGCAGGCATGGGCACTGGGCACAGAGGAAATGGGGAGGCAGGTGAGACACCTCTGTGCATGGGTGTTGCCAGTCCCACTGTCCATTCGGGTCACTGCCCGAGACTGCCCTGACTGCTCTACCTGATCGCACCTTCTCACCCTTGCTCACCCGTTCATACGCCGTCTCCACTCTGGAACGTCACCTTCAAGGAGGCAAGGAACTGGTGATGGTCTCTGTGGGGCCCCTGGCTCCCAGTAGGTGAAGGGCGGCGGCGAGGCCGAGGCCCGGTGTTGGAGCTCCCAGCGGTGCTGACTGTCACCAGCCACGGCCAGTGTACGCCCGGCCCGCGTGCAGCATGAGGGCCGCCTCCTCACGCAGCCCCGGCTGCATGGAGTGGGTGCTCACTGTTCTGCCCTCTGCACCCACATGAACTCGCCGTTCCCAGGGGTGCCAAAGGCGGTGTCCCCTCAGATGACAGTGCGTTTGGGGGCGAGCAGGGCCTGCATCCTGTTTTTCTCCCCCAGCTGGGATGAGCCATGCCCAACGTGTAGGGTCCCCCATGGTGATGGAAATTGTCTAGGCATGAGGAGTGTTGGGGGATCACCCAGGACCACCATGGGCCAGCCTTGGGGGGGGTGTTCAAGAACATGTGAAGGTGACGAGAGGGGGTAGAGGAGAAGTGCTTCTGCCCAGGGACCGAATGTGGGGACCAACCAGGAGGTACCAGGGGCTGTTAGGGGTGTCCCTCTGAGCAGGGACACCGTGAAGGTTCCTGACCGACACCCATCCTCGGTGAGCCCTGCTCCAGGCTGACCCCCTAGCATGTCTCTTTGAAACAGCCCTTTGGGTGGGTTACTTCAGGGTCTTGTCTTGCCTCGAGCAGCCTGGGGGTGGAGCCGGTGGACAAAGACACGCTGCGGCAGCCTCCTCGGAGCGTCAAGGACACCATCCTCAGCAGGGCCCTGGTCCTGCGCACTCTCCTGTCGGCTGCCGTCGTCATCAGCGGGACCCTCTTTATCTTCTGGAAAGAGGTGAGCACAGGTCGTTGCTGGCTGAGCCCTGGGGGGCAGGTGCCGGCCCCATAGGTGGATCGGGAGACAGCGGCACACAGACGAGAGCTGGGCTGAGAAACGTGCCGATTTCTTCTTAATCGGGGCCTGAGGCACCTGCTTCTCCCTGCTCTCAGTACAACACAACCTGAACTCCAGAACCTCCTTTTAGGGGCCTTGCAATTACAGGGAGCCCCTGCTCCCCTGTATTTCTCGGGTGCCCCGTGACCTCTGCAGCCTCACTTGCAGGACGGTGGTGGGCACAGCCTGGTGTGGGGTTAGGGGAGTGGCAGGCCAGGGAGACAGAAATGCAGGTTCTCGGGCTCTGCCCAGGGGCTTCTGTGTGAAGACCCCAAGGGCCTCTGAGAACCTGGGGTCCAGTGAGTATGCTGAGGCAGGAGCGGCACTGGTGCTCCTGGGCGAGAGGATGGCCTCATCGCCCTTCTCAGCTCTGTCGGGACAGGGCCTCAGGTCCCAGAGCCAGGTCGAGGCCACAGCCTCGTTCTCCACGAGGTCCACCTCCGGCCTGCCTGTGGGAGGTGACATCTACTAGGGGCCTGGCTATAGACATGTACACCCCATCATTCTGGTGGCTTCTGCCAGGTGCCACCAAGGGGCTGGAGACAGCTGCTGGGTTCCACATGTGACCCCATGCGCGGGACCTGGCCAAATCCTAGCGGTGACTTCTGCCCACCATGGCCCAGCCAGGGGCCTGCTTGGTGCGTCCCCTCTCCTCTCTGGGCATGGGGTTAAGGATGAGAACAGCAGGGCCCCCTCTGCCTCTGCTCACCCTGTGCACCGTGTCCAGATCCCTGCAGACAAAGCAAGCACCCCTCGCACCACCACCATGACCTTCACCTGCTTCGTGCTCTTCGATCTCTTCAACGCGCTGACCTGCCGCTCCCAAGTGAGGCCCGCCCCATCCCAGAGACCCCGCGATCCCTGCCCAGCCACTCAGTGGCCCCTGCAGGTGTGTTTATCTGGGACTGGTGCTGGGTCCTGGCGAACACCCCCTCTCTGCCTCCTGCAGACCAAGCTGATCATTGAGATCGGCTTTCTCAGGAATCGGATGTTCCTTTACTCGGTACTGGGGTCGGTGCTGGGGCAGCTGGCCGTGATCTACATCCCGCCCCTGCAGAAGGTCTTCCAGACCGAGAGCCTGGGTGCACTGGGTAAGTGCTGGGCGCCGAGACCCGCTCCTGGACGCGAGTCCTACATGTGGAAGGAGGCCCAGAGCACACATGTGGGACCAGAAGGCCCAGGAGTGGATGACTAGGACCCGGCCATGACCTGCCATGTGCTCCCAGCTGAGCAGCAAGGCCATCGAGGGTGGTGGGACAGGGACTCTGCTTACCTGCAGGCAGAGATCTGGCCGGCTCTCCACAGTTCCGCTGGAAGCAGCCATTCCATGAGCTGGGCTGTGGGCCCCCAGTTTTCACGCCGGAAGCAGGACCTTGGGGTCCGCTAAATCCCCATCCAGGCTCCTGCAGACCTATGTTTCTTTTTGGGAAGCTGCCAAGTTGGCTAGACTCTGCCTGAAGCAGCAATAACCACGAGCAGGTGGGGAGGGGGACAGAGAGCCAGGGCAGAAGCTCCCCAAAGCAGATCACCTCCTGAGGCTCTTGGAATGAGTGGTCAGGGCCAAGGAGGTGGCCACACCTCCTCTGCATCTGGGCCAGTGAACTCTCTTCCTGGAGTCAAACATCAATATGCATGCCCTGCAGCACAGTGAGGAGGGAGAAGCAAAAACAGGTTTTAAACAGCGTTTCCACCCACTGGCAATTAAATCAGGGGGCAGATCTAGCAATGCCACCGTGCTGGGCACCCCGCTTGTAAGGCACAGGGACAGAGCAGCCGGGGCCGGGAGGCAGGGACACTAGAAGCAGCGGTGGCCACGGCCGGCTTCAGGAACTAGTCCTCCGAGTGGGAGCAGAAGCATAGACGGGCACCTGCCCCGCTCCGCGAGGCCTGGCTCTGGAGCGTGGGGGACGTGGGGCTTGGAGGCACCTTCCCAGGGATGCGCAGGCAGGGGCTCAGCCCCTCGGTCCTGGCCCCACGCCTCTGTCAGGACAGAAGCTGCAAGGTGCCACCCTGCCCTGCCGCCCCACGCTGACCTTTTATCTTTCACCTTTGACAGACTTGCTGCTGTTAACTGGACTGGCCTCATCCGTGTTTATTTTATCTGAGCTCCTCAAACTCTGTGAAAGATTCTGCTCCCGAGTCAGGAGCAGCAAGATGCACCAAGAAGGCGTATAGCAGAGCCAGACCTGGCTCAGAGCCCCGAGCTCTACTTTTACGTGACTGTAGCCCCTCCACAGAGAGGCGTTTCTGACACGGTGGCCGTGGGTCACTCACGGTGCTCTCCGCCTTGGAAACCAGCAGGACGCTCCGATGGAGCTCCGGGGCCAGGCCTGCCTCCGTCCACTCCTCTCCGTGGGCTCTGGGCAGCAAAGGCCTGTTCGGAAACATCTCCTATTTATTAAATCACAGGTTTTTATTGTAAGTGTGCTGCCTGGCTCTCTCCTTCCCCCTCCATCAGTGGGTCTTTGGTTACATTACAGGGCGGGGGCCTGACAGTTCTCTCAATAGCTGGAGTTCACATTTCTCCTCCAAGCAGCTGGGTTGCTGGCTACTGCCTGCATCTCCCCCCACTCCCCCCCACCCCCAGAGTAGTGACCATGTGGTGAGATGCACTTATACCCTGCACTGCCCAGAGGCCTCAGCTCTTGAGAGCGGACACTTAGGTAGCCTGTCCCTCAGAACCGGGAGCTGGGTTATCTCCCCACCGCTCGAGGGTTCTTGGAGTGGCCCTCTGGTGGGAAGATGGTGTCCCAATCCCACCCTCACTTCTACGGTAAAACCCCCCCAATCAGGACTGGAGGTGGGGTCCAATCCAGGACACGAGGCCACATGATAAGCCTGTCAGCAGTCCGGGCTTTCCAGCGACACTGAGCCAACAGTTGCGGGAGGGAGGGAAGCTTGTCCAAGGCACAGACTCACACCACAGCGGGGCCCAACATCCCCGGGGGAGTCGGGACACAGTGGAATCCTTCCTTCTGGGGGAACACCACCTTTTTTCTTAAAACCGCCAGCTGGATAGATGAAGGGTGTTAATCACATCTAAAAAAAAAAAAAAAATCACAGAAGCCCCCAGTCTGGGGTTTGACTAACAGTGACCCTGAAAGTTACCATCTCTGCCCAGGTGGTGACACCTGAACCAGGCCAGGGTGACAAAGTCAGAGTGGACCCCTGTGGCGTCCAGGATGCCACCAGAGAAACACAGCCTGAGGGAGGTCATGATGTGCCTCTGCCCCAACCCCCTGAGACACCAGCATGAGCGACGCCTGGTGCCACCGCTGCCAGACGACCGGGGCCCAGACGGCCGGGGAAGGCGCCCCTTGGGCCCCTGTCTGCCAGCAGTTGCCAACCTTTACCAACAGCTGAGAGGTGAGGCCACGTCGTCTCACCGCACCTGCTCCTACGTCCTTGGACCACAGCACTGTCTGTCCCGCAGGGGCCTTCAGCAAAAGGCAGGCCCAGGAAATAGGCTTCTCGTTAAAGGATGATAAAAGGAATCAGCGACAGGAGATGGCACACAGGACCATGCATTCTCGGCACATGAATTCCACAAATTACAGGAAATACATGTCATTCCAAGCCAAAACCACAGACCAGGACAACTCAGGACGAAACAGATGGTCTGGATATCAGTAGGAAGGGCACTGAAGTCACAGGCTTTAAAATGCAAAAGAGGGAATCCCCAAAGCCAGATGTTCTCTAATAAAGTTACCTAAACATTTAAAGGAATAATGATTTCCACAACCTCTTCTAGAAAATGCGGAAACCCTTCAACTTATTCAAAAGCAAACCTCGCCCTGGGTCAACAGAGCAGACCAACACCCTCACGAACAGACCCAAGGACACGCAAATCATGGCAGCTGCCGCATCTAAAGAAAGGGCACAAGATATCAGCCCGAAAACGGAAGGCGAGTTCCATGCTTGACCCTCAGTGTTAGCCGGCCGCGTTATAATCGAGGAGAAATCTGCAGCCAGAGTAACTGAAGCAGAAAAATATTCAGTAAATTTCAGGTGGCATGTGAGGAGCCAGGAGGTGGGGGATGGGGCCGGGGCTCAGCACACTAGGACTAGAAGGAAACTGCAACCTGATGAAGAGCAGGGGAAACACCCAGGGGAAGTGTCAGACTCATGGTGAGAGGCTGCACGCTTTTCTCATCAGATTAAGAGCAGAGCACAAAAAGCCAGTGCACCATTCAATACTGTAGGGGCTTCCTAGCAGAGCAGCGTGCCCAGGAAAAGCCCCTGACCAGAGTGAAGAGGGGAAGATAAATCAGACCCTTTCCAGAAGTAAAAGCTGAGCCTAGTAAAGCCATGAGAAACAGGATTAGGGCCCTCCCTGGTGGCGCAGCGGATTACAGCACAGCACTAAGAAGCTTAAGCCACTTCCGCATGAGTTTGATCCCGCATGAGTTCGATACCTGCATGAGTTCGATACCTGCTTGCCCCGGAGGAGAGCCACAGGGCACAGCAGACCTCTCCTGACCTGCCCGCTGCTCCCCTCAGCAGTGAACTTTGTTGATCTGCCTGTTCTGTTCCCCACTCTGTCTCTGGTGAATCTTCTCACCCTCCGCATCTCTGGCCTGTACCCCAGTTCTGTATGAATAAATATTTTTAAAAAGACAGAAACAGGATTAACATGCAAAAATCAACTCTACATCTAAACTTTAGCAGTGAACAACTGGAAACAAATTAAAAATGTAATTACTGCCTACATAAAAACAAAACACTCAGATGTATACAAAATGTGTGTTGCACCCGGGTGGTAAGGTGAGAAAATCCAAGAGGCCACAGGAGACCTAAATAAATGCAAGGGCATGCTTTGTTGTGGATGTCAGTCTGTAAAATGGAATATTATTAGGAAATTTAACAAACCCAAAAGGGCCCCTGCAGATGCTGACACCCACCTCGATGGCTTTTATAAAAACGAGTTATAGGCCCATTGAAAAGTTAACCAGACATGGATAGAGCTGGAAAAGATCATGCTTAGTGAAATAAGCCAGAAAGAAAAGGAAAAATACCGATGGTTCCACTCATAGCAGGAGTGTAACGGACCAGGAGAGAAAATAATAATAATAATGAACAGCTATAGACCGGAGACATTTGGGGGGTGGGGACAGAGTGGGGAATGGGATCAAAAACAGCGGGGGGAGGGAAATGCACTGGACTACGGTGATGGCACAGGGTGACTTGGTGATGGGAAGCCCAAGGGGATTGCAAATGAGATGGAAAAATGCACAAAAATATGTAAAAATAAACTACTATTAAAAATAATAATATAAATAGGGATCCGTAAAAAAAAAGTTAACCAGGGTGAAGCAGCCCCCACAACAAACACCAGCAATTTTCACCCCCACTTCGAAGGAACTCCTTTCACTTTACATTTCCTATGCACTGGAAGAGGAGGTTCTCAGCTACTGTAGGGACAGGGCAGTAACGCAGGACGTAAAACCCGGTCAGAACCAAAGCTGCAGACGACGCGTGTGTGCACGCAGCACTAGGAGGCGGCCGGCCGGCCGGGCGCGGCAGGCGAGAACAGCGGCCGTGGGGCACGAGGCCGGTGCCTGCTCACCTGTCAGCCCACTGCTCGGCTGCAAGCCTTCGTCCTGGGCCAAAGCCCCCGCGTGACCCTAGGAGGCTTCAACTGCACAGCGCGTCTCCCCGGGCCGAAGCAACAAAGGAGGCTCAGTGTGCGTCGGGGTGTGTGCGTGCGTGCGTGCGTGCATGCGTGGGTGTGTGCACGCCGCGCTGTGAACACCAGGGCCTACGCGGTGACGTCACTCGTGCTCCTGTCCTGCGGAAGGAAAACGGCGGGATGCAGGGCGGCGGGAGGAAGGCTCACCTTTCCAGTCCTGGCGTCCTTTTGCATTACTCACCGTGGACACACGGGGCAGTTTCTTAATGAAGGGAAGAGGGTGGGAAATAAGTAACAGCCATGCTGGGCCCCAGCGATCTTCGCTTGCAGGGAGACTGCCCCAGCCATCCAAATTCTTATCCCCCCTTCACTGAAGGGCGACCCCTTCAGGTGTTACAGCTGCCGCCGCTGGGGCTCAGCCGGCTACTGCGGGTTGCTCCAGTGGCTGGGGCCACAGCGGACGCCCTGCACAGACGTGTATGCCCACAACTGCACTAGAGGCAGCATCTTGGCCATGGGAAGTCACATGGCTACCCCACGAGCAAGGCGAGGGCTGCACCCCAGGGGCTGCCAAGTGCCCACAAGCACACCCAGGCTTGTGGGAACGTGCTGGTCTCCATCTGTGACCCCATGTTAGCACAGACACGTGGTAGGAACAGGGCAGGCCAAATCTGCCTCCACCAGCGGCGACGATAAATGGCGCAGACGCCTAGAGACCTGCGTGAGAAGTATTTAATGGTGCGTCTAGAAAAGTGCGTTGGTAACACACTGAGGATTTGGAACCGAGTTCTTCCTCTTCAGTGTCAGGGTGCCTGTAGCTGCTACCACATCAGTCAAGAAGAGCAGCTCTGAAACACTGGCATTTTGTAAGGAGTTCAGTGGTAACTGAGACGGCGTCTGGGCATCGGGGCACCCCCCTTGCCGGCCTTTATGCCCTGTGCTTCCGAAGGCTCAGTCAGCAGCTGTGCAAGGAGGCAGGGCTGGCCCTGAAGCCCTGCCCACCTACCAGCACCGTGAGGATGGCATTAGGAAGGGCGGCCCTGAGGGCAAGGGGTGGTCAAGGCTCGCCACTTGTTTATGTGACAGGCCATACAGGTCACAGATGCACACATGTCACACACACAGTGATCTCAGCAGAGCACTCCATCTCAGGCTCCAGCACGCCCCGCTTTTTAACAAGCGTCAGACCACAGTTGTGAGTTCCCGTGCATCTCCTGGCTCTCCCGTCTGCTCCCGGCACAGACACATTTAAAAACAGTTGAGAAGAGCAGAGGCAGACCTCATCACCACCACCCACTCGGGGCCCAGGGCTCAGGAAATGTGTAATCTCCAAAATCCTTGGCTGCTTTCCCCATCAACATATGGCCTGTGCTTTCTCACAGAGATTCCACGCCATCAGAAGTCACTCCCCAGTGCACTGAGAGTCACAAACACATGTCCAGCTCCTTCCACCATTGACATGGACTGTCAAGGCTCACTTTTAACTGGGATGGCCTGAGAGAGAACAGGTGACTCCCACAGGTGAGCACTCCTATTCCCAACAAAAACTGATTCCAGTAGAGATGGCAGAAGATGGTTCAAGTTCATCGATATGAAATGAACTAAGAATTAAGCTGCTAATTTGACACTGAGGATTTCTGGAAGATACACCCACCACTCAACCTGTGGCAGAAGGAACTTTACTCTGTTCCCACGGACACACTCAGGACCAGCTGGGAGTGATTCATGTGGCCCCAGGTTCAAGTTAAGCACACAAGGGATCAGGAGAGGCTGTGCAGCTGAGGCTGCACCCGGGGGTGCCCACGCTTCACTCCAGAAGGATGCACTGGGGGTTCCTCCTCACTCTGCTGAGGCTTCCCGGAGCCCGTGGCTATGGAGTGTCCGTCCACTGATTTCCAGCAGCGCCTGAGCCTCCGGGTCCACATCCAGAATGCTCTTTCCGTTCTTGGCCTTGGGAAGAGGGGAAGGTGGGAAGAGAACCTGTCTCCCTGGCGGCCAACAATGACAGATGTGCTGCCGGCGTTAGGCTTACTGGAGTGCGTCACAGCAAACCCTGTCTCCCTGGGTCTCCCCACTTGGGGACACCAGCACTGCATGGTGATGAGATGTTTGGGGAGGCTTGCAGGTCCCCACAATGACTCTTCACATCAGCACTAACTAGAAGGAACCTAGGCCCCATGGCTCCAGGTCAGGTGCCTGCTGCCTGGAGCTGTGCCTTTTACTTACCCCTGATAGGGCACCCGGCTCTGGGGTGCACTGTGGTCCACTGGTGCCCACCAGCAAGGGACAGCCCACAGCCACTGAGACAATGTGGCATGAACTACCTTCGGGGGGGAGGGGCAGGTTAAAGCCCATGGAGTGAGCCCGCGCTCACCTGGGTCACCTCAGCGTCGCCCACGGCCCACACCTCCATCTTCTCAAACTGGAAGTCCTCCTTGGCTGACAGCTGCGGGCTGCTGTATGTGGTGCATGTGGGCTTGGCCTTGCTGTGTCCTTTTCCAAAATCGACATCGATCCACAGCCCAAAATAGTTGTGCTGCCCGCCCATGCCCTGCGGAGGGAGCGCGTCAGCACACCCCGGCCTGCAGAGACCTCGCAGCTGGCTGCCCAGACAGGACTCAGGAGACCCCAGGGCTCTGCTCTGCCCTCAACCTGTGCAGCTTCACACCCCATGACAAGGTACTGTAACAGAACAATCTGCAAGGTTTCTGGCTCGTCTCAGGGGCCACACAGGCAGAAGCACAGGACAGCAAGGGACAGGGGCTGAACACCCTCAGGGCCCAGAGACTCAGCCTCTAACATCAGCAGGGAGGCCAACATAGGCCTTGAGCTTGGGAAACCTACTGTGTCCAGGAGTGGGACTGGGGGTCGGGGGGAGAGCTCACCCAGACAAACAACCCAGGGCTCAACCTGAGCCACTGCTCTGTGGGCAGAGGCACTGCTCTGAAGGAAAGCAACAGGAACAGACCCAGGTGACGTGGCGCCTCTGGGCCAGTAGCCTCAGGTCTGCCTGGGCCTCCCTGATCACACTCTCCAGTGTCGCCTCCACCATGCTCCTGTCAGGTCCTTGGCAAACCCTGAAACTCATGCTGGGCAAGAGCTCGGAGCAGGAAATCTCCGTGGGCTCTCAGAGGCGCTCCCCACCCTCAGGCTACTTCGAGCCACTTCCAGGGACCTACTAGGTGCTGCTCCTGAGGCTGACGGCCTCTCCCTGCTGTCACCAAGCCCCTATTCTGAGAAGGGCCAGGGGCAACCTGCAGAGAACCTGGGAAATCCTGATGACCGGGATGACCGGCCTTCTCAGTTCTGCTCTGCCAGCTCGGGGCTGAATTTCTCAAAAGGAACCTTTTGTTAAGAAGCAAAGAAAAGCAGTGGACTGGAGTGCGGGCAGGAGGCACACTTCTACCCAAACTCAGCAAGGAATGGGCACCCTGCCTGCTCCTCAGCCCTGTGCCCTTGCCCACCTGGCCCCTGGCTTCCAGCCTTTCTCTTCTCCCTGAGCCTGGTCACCAGGCTGCAGACCGCCTTGGGGCAGGCTGCTGGGCCTCCCCCTGTTCTGAGTCACCTGGCAGTACCCCAGGTACATGGCCAGGCAGCAACCCCGGGGGTCTGGCACGGAGGTATCAAAGACCACAGACCACCTGGAACCAGGGAGAAGGCTGCACTCGCCATCTGCATATAACCCACCAAGGCACCCATCCTCCCACGGGAGCAGCTCAGTCCCAGCCCTGGCGCCCACAGCCCTGAAACCCCTGACCTTGGCGTGCTTATGTGCCTGCACGCATGCAGCTGCCCCACTGTGGGGAGGGTGGGCCAGGGCGACAACCCCAGGGATACCTCCGGCAGCCCCCTCAGTCCTTACCAGGCCGTTTGGGATGGTCTGCTGCCCGTGATTCAAGTACATGAAGTGGTTATTATAGCCTGTGTGGGTGAACACAGCCATCTGGGGTGAGATGGAAAACAGGAAGCACCTGCTGTCCCCTGAAAGTGACCAGAGCACAAACAAGCCCATCACCAATCTGCAGGCAATGGAAGGTAAAGCACCACTGTCTCAGGTGTGCCCTGAGCTCACCACAGGTGCCCGCCGCCTCAGGCTCATGGGGACAGAGCCTGCAGAGGACAGGCCTGCAGGCCTGGCACTTCCGAAAGAATCTGGGGCCCCATTCACCTGGCCCTGGGGTAACAGAGGTGGGATGCAGGCCGCCGTTTGCAAGGTGAGCACATGGAAGGCAGAGGGAGCAGGCCTCCTGCAGACCCGGTAGCCAGAGGGGCGGTGGTCACTGCTGCAACTGTCCTCGCACCGACACAGTCCGCTCCAACAGCAGGCAGTGCTGGGGGTCGTCCCAGGCTGCATTCAGCAAGCCCGACTACCCAGTGCAGAGGCCCCTGGGATCTGTCTGGATCCCGCCCCAGGGTCAGGCCCTCCCGCTTGCCCACACTGTCCTCCCTGGGCCACCCTGGAGCTTGAAGGCCCATTCATGTGTTCCCTTGACACTCATGTCAAAAGAGACACACTGCTGCCACAGGGCACTATCCTTGGGGAAGGAACAATGAAAGTGATGGTCAGGGCTTCTGCACTGGGCATGGGGGCTGCTGAATGAATGCAGTTTCTCGGCACCTCCCATGTGGGCAGGACGACACTTCAGGCTAAAGACTCTGACTTGATTCCCCGGGCTCAGGAGCCCAGGTTGGGAGCAATTCTGGACACCGTTACCTGCCTGCTTCCCCATGGCCAGGGGTTCCAGGCATCACTTCACTTTGCAATTCTAAGTTCACCTTTTGGCCAACATTTACAGGGTCCCACCTGCTAAAGGAGCGGATAGCCCACAAAATATGGGCCCCTCAGCTGTAGGGGAGCCTCCCTCTGGTCTCTCAGGGTCTGCTTTCGGTGGGGGAGGTCGCATACTTGACTCAGGGGCAGAGGGGCCATTTTCACCTGCCCAACAGCCAGACCCACAGTGAGCCACCCTCATGTGAGGCTCCCTATCGCGGTGCCTGAAAAGCTCAGGACCAAGGTCATCAGCACCACAGTCTCCAAGCCTCCCCAGCACCGGCACTTCACGTCTCCCTGGGGAGCTGCAGCCCCTGGCCCAGCCTGAGGCCGCTGCTCAGTCCAGAACCAGTGATAGAAACAGCAGCAGAAATGAAGCAGCTGCTTTCTGACCAGTCCTGCAGGTCAGAAATGGCTGTTTCCATGACGACAGACCAGCCTGGCCCGGACCTGGACCTGAGCTGAGGCAAGCCTGCCCTCTGCTGGAATTCCACCGCACAGCTCAGAACAGCAAGAACCCTGAAAATTTAGTAACCCCAGTTCCCCACCATTCTTTGGGAAGATTTATTCTGCTTGTTAATAAGCCATGAAGACCCTGCAGGGTCACCCTGAACAAAGTTGCAGTTGAAGGAGAAGGCCCCTTCCCACATCACTGTGACAGGGTGGGGGTGCAGAGAACAACCCCACAGTGAGAGTCTGCCATCCAGAAAGGGAAGCTGGGAGCTGGGCCCTGGGCGGGGTCTGGAGACCTGGATTTGAACAGCCCCCCACACACACCGGAAGTGGTTAAGAGTGGTCCCAACACGGTTTCTGTGCAAACCACGTGGCTGGTGCTGAACCAGTTTTCCTCCAGGGGTCTGGAATTTGGGAGGGTGCTAGGCACCACCCCTGGGCGTTGAGTCCCCAGGAAGCATCCCTGCTAGACACACTCCTCGGAGAGCTAATTAGCTATGGGTCAATTAGCTGCAAAGCCCTGAGAATAACTGAAGTACGGGTGGTCTTAGGGGTCCCTGACACCATGAGGAAGGGTTGATAGCAGCAACTGGATAAAAGATCTGAAACATTCTGAAATGCAGAGAAAATCAAATCCCCAAAACAACCAGGCAGAGGAGGCCAAATCTTCCTTTCGTGCTCACCCCCACCCTCCCAAGCAAATGGCCACCCAGCTGCTTGCTGCTGACACCACCCCGGCAGCCAGGACCCAGGTGCCTGACCAAAAATGCTCTGCCTAGCGGGGACAGATAGAGGCCACTCCAAGGCAAAAGGACCACAGGGAAGGCAGGGCCCTCGGGGTTTGGGACGGCTCCCTGGAGGAGGTGACCCTGCCTAGGTTCCCATAAGGAGCTGGTGGTTCATACAGGTCAGGGAGGGAGGAAGGGCAAGTGCATGGGGAGGGGGAACGTGACCTATCCCAGAACCCACAGAAGAACAGGGAGACAGCCTCGAGAGGAGGGAGAGGCACTCAGAATAGGCTGGGATGTGGCAAAGGGATGAGGCCAGTTAGGAGGTGTCATGCATGCCAGAGCGAGATGGTGCGAGGAGGCAGGTGGGACAGGGCTGGTGGTCACCAGACAGTCTCTGTGCCAGAGGGGCAGGCAGCCCTGTCCCCAGCTCCCGGTCTCAGAACCCTGGGTCCTGTGTGGACCTAGCCGGAGTGGGAGCCTTAGCACATGAGAGTGAGCGGGCCTGGACCTGGTCTGCCTTACAGCCATAGACAGAAGCACCCGCACCACGGCACACAGGGCCTCCGAGAACACAGACCAGCAGCCTGGCCACGCCGGGGACACGGAGCTGCGTGGAATCCTGGGAGGTGGGCTCACCTTGGAGCCAGTGCCCGGGAGGAGAGTGCTTCTGGAATGCATCTCAGGGGATTTTTCTTGGAGGAAGAGGAAGAATTTACTCAGTCTAGAACATTCAAAAGGTCAACCAAAGAGCTGTCAACTTCAAACAAGTGTCTTAAAACCACACACACACACAAGACAGACGAAAAAGACAAAAGCAGAAAAGCAGCAGAGGCGATACCACCAGCTGTGGGCCACAGGAAAGGAAGATGGGAGAGTGAGTCAGCCTTGGCCCCAGGACCCCGAATGAGGATCAACCACAGCCTGACTGGGCTTCAGTCACCATGCGGGGTCACTGTCTGCGCTCCGGAAACGCAAGGTGAGGACACCTGACTTGCTCAACTCATCCTGCTGGCCAGATCAAAAAAAAAAAAAAAAAATTCTTGAAGCATCTGATCACCACAAAGAGGGCCGTTTCACACCCAGAAGAGCCCGGGAAGGGAGGGTGCAGGACACCCTTTCAGTCGCGCCCGGTGTTCTTGCCAAGGGCTCCGAGAAGCAGCCGCAGCCGCCTCACCAGACGGCGCCCGTGGCTGGTCTTACCTTGAAACTGAGGCTTGACCTCCCAGGAGCAGGAGGCAAAGCCGCCGAACACATGGCCGTCGTGGTCCTCCAGGAGCGTCACGCAGGGCCCCTGGTGCACGATGTGCCCGAGGAGCTGGGCAAAGCTGTGCCCGTGGAGCTCGGAGGCGAACAGCAGGCGCCAGCGGTGCCGCAGCTCGGCGGGCAGGTGGGAGTTGATGTAGACGAGCGACGGCACGTCCAGGAGGCTCTCGAACTCCCGCCCCTGGGCCACCTGGCGCTGGGGGACCAGGGTGGCCAGGTCGAGGGACGAGGGCATGAGGGCAAGGCCTCTGTGGATGACCACGCTCAGGAAGGAGGCCACGTGGGGGACCCTGAACACCCAGTCCTCGACCACAGCTCGGTCACAGGCGCAGTCCTGCCACTGGGGCCCCGCAGGCTTCCTGCCACCTAGAGAGGGGGAAACACCGCAGGTGAGGCGAGCACATGCCCCCACTGTCCCACCTGCGCCGGCCACCACGGGCACCACACACAGCTCCTGAGCCTCGGCTCAGGGCTGTCTGCACTGGGTTGGGCATTGAGTACAAAACACACCCAGTTTCAAAGGCCTGGTGCAAAAAAACACTCAACATTCCTAAAGCTAAAGTGTTGACCATGGAGTGGAACGTCTGTTTCGGACACATTCTTTTAATTCTGTGCTCCCCAACTGTTTTAATCCAGCCTCGCAGTGTCTGGGTCACATGTGTGGCGGGCAGGGCTCACACTTACCTCTGAGGGACAAAGCTTCCATGCTGACGCTCTGTTCTCTCCGATCAGGCCCAGGGACATCTGTGCCCTCACCCCGAGCCAAGGCCCCTGAGGGCCTTCCTGAGACCACCACCTCACTGAGGGTTTCTGCACCAACACAGTCATTTGGGGAGGATGGAGAGGTGTGCCATTCCTCATGTCAGGCGGGGCAGTAGCCGCCACTTACTGGGCACCCCCACGCCCGCCCATCCGGGGAGAACAGGCTTGACCAGCCAACGTCACACCTTACTGTTCCCAAACAACAGCCACAGTCCCCTCCTGTGCCTTACCTAGGAGCAGAGGTGGCCTGGGGGGAGGCTGCTGAGTCAAACATACAAGCAGTGGGTGCCATGTACATGTATAAAATGGAAACGTAGATACACGCATGATTACATGTTCTACTGTGTCATTCTTTCCAAAGACCTTACTTAAATGAATTTTGAAATAACCTATTTCAAATTGTATTTAAAAATCCAATGCTGTAGGGGCCTCCATCCTTCAGACACCCTCAGCCGCCACAGGGCTGGGGGCCTCAGCCCCCTGGGACAGAGGCTCCACCACGACCCCCAGGGCGACCTCAGCCGCACTTGCCTTGAAGCTTCACCTCGGAGAGCAGCTGCGCAGCCAGCTCGCGGATGCGGGGGTTGGCGTCGGGCACTGCCTGCCCCTCCCAGCCCCGCAGCAACTTCCTGTGGTGCAGCACGTGCACCACAGCGCCGACCAGGTCCTGCGCAAACTGGAGACACAGTTTCATCATTAGCGACATTTCCACGGGGACCCGACTCCTACCCCTGACCCACGTGGGGATGGGCATTTTCTCTCTTTTATGCCACCTGTGATGGGCACAAGGTGGGGAAAGGTCATGTCACTTGGGTCTGTGCTCATTTCCTAGTGATGCCTTTGACCGCTCAGACCACACCCGGTCAGCACATGCCTCAGGGCGCTCCGTGCCTGTGCCTCCACCGGCTGCCAACTCGTCCTCAGGGCCCGCTGAGGGTCACCCCGACTTCCCGGAAGGCTGGCAGGGACCCATGGCCGCCCTACCTTCTGCACTTCTCCTGCCTTCACAGGCTCTTCTGTGGCAGAAATCATCTTCAGGACCACAAGACTCTTTTCCTCGGAGCTGCCTTTCAGCAGGTGGGACATGGACACTGTGAACTGCTCCCGGGAGATGCCGTCGCTGGGCCTCTGCCCCTTGCCCGGCAGGTCGAGGGCCTTCATGCCATTATACAGCCTGGTGACCATCTCGGGGGGGAGGGCCTTCCCGACATGCCTCTGGTGGGGACACACAGGAGAAAGGGCTGGACTCGGAGGTGGCAGAATCATGGGAAATGACATACCAGGAGGCCACGGCTCCCACCAGCCTTCACCTCCCACATCCCCACCAGCTCCTGCCCCTGGGAACGTCGCGCCACCCAAGGAGCGCACGCCAACTGGCCCTGACCCCTCCTCTCCCGCCTGCCCTGCAAACCCCCCAGCCTCCTGAGAGGCCCGTCTTTCTCCGTCTGCTCTGCACTCTGCCCAGAACGTCTCCTTCCCTCTAGACGCCGACTGCTGCCAAGCGCATGTGTGAGCTTATTAACATCCGGAACAGAAAGTCTGCGGACAGCTGATTCAGTCTCTTCTCCAATCAGCGCCTTCTAGACATACTGGAGAACTTGCGATTCGATTTGTAACCTCCAAGTTCTTTGTGCTCGAAACACATTTTTAATTCCTCTTACTTTAAATCAGATGTAACTCTTAGTGTCAGTAACATTCTGGAAGCGCATTTCTCCTTCTGGACCCCCACCTCAAATCTGACTTGGTACCGGAGTTACAAGTAAATGAGCAAGTCACCAACTGAACTCGTGTCGGGATGCCAGTTCTCCTGTCCACAGGACACTGTGGGAGTGACCAGGCCCCGGCCTGGCCCTATAGAGCAGTGTCCCCGCCCGTCACTGCTCCAAAGAGCATTCCCGTTTCTAGAGCGTGCTTGCTGGCTGAGCAACTCCTCCCCACTCCGGGAACCTTGAGTTGCCAAGGCCCTCTGAGCAACTTTGAGCTCCATTTCTCTTGATGAACACGGTGGATACTGTCACCCTCTACGGTCCAGTCTTCCATTGGCCTGTTTGGTCCTGTTTGTGCCAGGTAGTGGGTGAGTGAGCAGGCCAGGGTCTGGTCTAGTGGAGAATACACACGTATGGGCACACACGTGCGCCCCAGCTCTGACGTGATAACTTTCCTGCTTATCCTGACTAGTTTCTTCAGAGGTGAGGTGAGCTTGATCACCAACACTTCCAGGAAGATGAGCTGATGTCTCTTTGCCAGTGTCCTGCCTCAGCCTACTCACCCAAACAGTTTAAAAGCCCCATGGAATGGGATTTAAAAAAAAAAAAAAAAAAAAGGGAGACAGTCCCAACTCCTTATCAGAGGGGCTTTGAATTTGACATCTCAGTTTCTTGGGGAGCGCCCTAAAACCCCAAGGACACAGCGAACACATCCAAATCCGTTTAAAGACAAAGGGGCATTGGGGACTGCAGTCTCTCGGCCTAGGAGCCCAGCTCGGGCAGCTGGTCACAGCCTCAGGCTTGGAGTGCAGGTGGGAGGCCAGAGAGTCCAGTGACAGGAAGCAGGGCAGCCCAGGCTCAGCCTTCAGTAACAATGGTCCCCAAGCATGGCCTGACAAGGCAGAGGGGACAGAGCCAGGCACGTGGACTCCCACACTGAAGCACTATGTGCTGTCTGCCCTTACGGGAAACAGACCATGTGGGTCCACACAAGATGGCCTGACAGGAACAGGACGGCAAGGCGGCCCGAGGGACAGACTGTGCAGACCCCCGCGCTGCAGGCAGAGGCCACGCTGACCTTGAGAGCCTTCAGAGAGAAGGTCTGGAACGGGGGCCTGGGGTTGGCTTCCTCTGCCGAGAGCACGTTGAACAATCTATCAACCTCCACCTGCTCCTCAGGAAGAAACTGGGAAGTGAATTTGTGCTGCAAGCCGCTTCTGCTGTTCCCCATCTTCCCGCTGACCTGGGTGGCGAGACCCTGGGAGGGGGAAAAGATGCCACATTAGAGAGAAAGTTCAAAGCGCAGCTGTGTCCTGGAAAACGGATCTCAATGGACGGCAGGAAGCAGCGGGAGCATGAGAGCTATGTCACGGGTTTCAGCGTGGGACCCTGACACACCGGAGCGGGAGAAACAACACTGGGCCCCATGAACCTCTGCCCACACGGGGTGTCCTTTGACAACAGTCTCCAAGCTAACGTAACGGGGCAAGTCTGTAGTTTCTTTCTTTTTTTTAAAGATTTATTTGTGCATACAGAACTGGGGTACAGGCAGAGGCTCAGGGGCGGCGAGAGGATTCACCAGAGACAGAGTGGGGGACAGAACAGGCAGATCTACGAAGTACACTGCTGAGGGGAGCAGCAGGCAGGTCAGGAGAGGTCTGCCGCGCCATGTGGTCACCTCTGGGGCAGGCGGGGATCGAACTCATGAGGAAGTGGCTTTTGTTTCTTGGTGCCATGCTTTAACCTGCTGTGCCACCAGGGAGGGCCGTAAGTCTGTAGTATCATCCAAAAAGTCGTTGTTTAAACAGGTGTGAGAAAACCTAAGGCTGCAGGACGCCCGTGGCTGCAGTCAGACCAGTGTAAATACCCTGGCCAAGCCAGCCTGCCACCATCAAGTGTTTCTTCTGTGACCCTGGCTCCAGCTTTTTGAACAAGCACTCAGACTCGACTTATCTACCTGAAAAACAGGAGTCACCACAGACCCACCTCAGTGTGCTGGGACAGGTTAGTGAGTTAATCATCACCGGAGACGCCAGCAGAGAATGGCACCCAAAGCCAGGTGACCTTTGGTGGCCTCTGCTCATGGTCACAGACCTCACTAAGGGGAGCAAGTGCCCACAGCCCAAGAGACTCCCGTGAAGCACGGCAAGGAGGCGCCATGCCTCCTCAACCCGTCCTCAGGCTTGACCTGCGCTTTGCGGCGAAGAACCTGCCAGAGAGACAAGCACTGACTCCCCATCTTTTATTGAGGTGTGATTCACCTAACATCAAGTTCTTTGAGTTCACCATCTTCTTGTGAGGCCTATAGCTCGTTCACAGTGCTGTGCAGCCACCATCTCTATGGCGCTCTGGAATATTCCACTACCCCTGAGAGAAACCCCACACCCAAAAGCAGTCAACCCCTGCGGCCCTTGGACATTTCATGCAGAGGGCTCCGTACACCTGGCTTCTCTCATTCACACAATGTTTTCAAGGTTCACCAAGTGTGGTGTGTGGCTGCCCTCCACCCCTTTCTATGGCTGAGCATGTGGAAACACCCCCATGGACTGTCCACTCATCTCTAGGTGGCCTGGGGGCTGTGTCACCCCCTGGGCACCAGGACAAGGGCTGCAGGCAGCCTCCATGCACATGTCCTGGTACCCTCATTCTCAAAGGTGGAGGGTCTATCAACGGGGGGAACTGCTGGGTCACAGGATAATGCAGCATGTAACGTTTGAGGGATGGCCAAGCTGCTTTCCATTTTTCATTTTACCAGCAAAGCCTGGGCTTGTAATGTCTGCGTATCCCCCACAACATGCTTGTTATTTTTCTGCCTTCTTTATCATCCCAGTGGGTCAGTATCCACTGTGGACAGGAAGCTTCCAGCAGAAGTACGCTGGGCACATGCAATGGCACAAATGAGGCTGATACCACCATCACCCCGGGGCAATCTTGATTCCAGAAGCTTGCACTCATCACGTTTCTCAGCAGAGTAAGAGCCAGAAAGGAAACCCTCCCTGCCCTGGGCTCAAAGCCCAGCCTGCATCAAGGCCCACGCTCCCTCATCTCTAAGGGGGCAGCACATGGTGTCCTCTGGGGACTGGCCATCTTCTTTGTCCATGCTTCCAAGAGCCCCAAGAAATCATTGACATTTTGAGCTGGATTAACAGATGCTGTTATCATTTGACTTTTAATGCCCACTGACTCCAGAGGATAGTAGGAAAGAGCACAAAGAGAGAGAGCAGGCCTCATTCATTCCAAAGCTAACTCAACACAGTCAGACCCTCATAGCAGCAAACAGCAGCACCAGGCTGGGCTGCATAGCCTAGGCGTGTGGGCAGCTTGCCTCCTCCAAGTGTGTGATGACCCTCTAGGCCACATGCATGTCAACATCCCTGAGAATACGTTGCTCAGGTGTCTGGGCCCTGCAGAGAAGCCCAGTGTGTATTGTCACATGATACGCCAGCCGCATGACCAGCTGTCTCAGGAGCGACAGCAGAAAACACACCAATGCCCACCAGCCAGGGGGGCGGACTCATGAGGATACCACAGCATGGAAGTGTGGGTGTCTCAATCAAAGTGTGAGGGTTGGGATGTCTTGTGTGATTTGGGGGAGGATGCCAAGGAGGGACAGTTCACTCTAGGTTGGGTTCAATTTAGTGACTGGACAGCTGCATCATCTTTGTGAAAGATGCAGGAGGGAGGGGTGAAGCTGTAATCAGGAAGGCCATGGCATGCCTCCCATTGGCCAGCAAGGGTCTTGGGGGTTCCCAGGGGAGATTGCACAGTGATCTAATCTGCATAGACAGTGTGGCCTTGCTTTGTTTTGTTCCTTCAGTGGCCAGTGAGGTCATGACAGTATTTGCATTCGAAGGACATCCCACAGCTTCCCTGTGCCGCCCAAACACTGGCCAGCAGACCCCTCATTGGGGCCATCACCTATCTGAAACCCACCTCAGTCACAGCTTTACAGAGCTCTGGTAAGTCATATCAGCTTTAGCCAGAAATGATTTTTGCTACATATTTCCATACCCCCTCACCAGGGATATGGAAGACTTTTATTAAAATCTGTGTGAATTTACCAACTCACCAGAAAACACATCCTCCCTGGAACTTCCATCTTGCTAAAATCCCGAAAGTGGTACGTATATAAAGATGCGCCCAGGTAAATTATATTTCTATTCTATAGTCCATTCTATAATCTACACTTTTGACAGTATTCTATAGCGTTCGAGTCAATTCAATTCTCTACACTATTCTTCGCATACTTGTCTTCATATCAAAGACACTAGCACTTCTAGAAAACATCAAGGTGAGACAGCAAAAGCAACACAGAAAAATGGAGAGAAACAGAGCCATGATGTTGCCCACCTTTAAATTCTACTATAAAGCAGCAACACTAAAAACAACATGGTACTGGCAAAACAATAGACATGGAATGCAGTCAATATTCTGGAAATAAATGCATGTATATATCAATACTTAATTCATGATTTTTAAAAAGAGACACCATACTATCTACCCAAAAGATACAAAAACACTGATTCAAAAGATATCTGCACTCCCATGTTTACTGCTGCTTTATTCACAATGGAAAGACATGGAAGCAGCCCAAAAGCCCAAAAGTAGATGACTGGATTTAAAAGATGTGGTACATATACACAATGGAATATTACTCAGAGACCAAAAAAAAAAAGAATCACATGTCTTTTGCAGCAACATGGATGGAGCTGGGAAAGATCATGCTTAGTGAGATAAGCCAGAAAGAAAAGGAAAAATACCGGATGGTTTCGCTCATAGCAGGAATATAACGGAACAAGCAAGAAAATAATGATAATGATGAACAGCTAAATACCAGAGACATTTTGTGGGGGTGAAGTGGGGAATGGGATCAAAACAGTGGGGGGATGGAAATGCACTGGACTATGGTGATGGCACAGGTGATTTGGTGATGGGAAGCCCAAGGGGATTGCAACTGAGATGGGAAAATGCACAAAATGATGTAAAGTATATAAAAAGAGGCACCATACATTGGGGAAAGAGAGTCTCCAGCAAACGGTGCCAGCAAATTTGAATGCACACATGTGAAAAAACAAACTTGGATCACTCCTTAACTCTGGACACAAAAAATAAATTCTAAGTGGAGTAAAGATATAAAAACCTCAACAATAAAATACATAGAAGAAAACACTGACGATACATTTCATGATATCAATGATAAAAGAGGTATTTGGAAACCCAACCTCTATAGCAAGGGCAATCAAAGCAAAAACAAACCATTGGGATCACCTTAAATCACAGCCAAAGAAATAACAGTAGATTAAAAAAGACATACTACCAAATAGGAGAAGATAGATGTCACACAACTGACAAGGAGTTAGTATTCAAGATATAACTTAAGTAATTCAACAATAAAAAATAAATAAATAAATGGGCAGCAGATGTGAACAGAGAATTCACCAAACAGGGAAACCAGGGGACCAATAGATACATGAAAAAGTGTCCATCACACTCCCGGGGTGTGGTTCCAACCGCAATAAGATGCTACCTCACTCTTGTAAGACTGGCATGTTTAAACACTAAACTCGACAGCAAAGGCTGCAGAGAGCGAGGAGTGAGGACCGTCTGAGACACTGTTGGGGGAACACGCCCCAGGGCGGCCATTGTGGAAGGCCACCTAGATTGACGTTAAAACACAAATAAGGCAGGACCCAGCAGTCCCACGCCTGGACATCTGAAGAGTATGAAACCATCATCTCAAAAACTAGATCCTCCCTGGTGGCACAGCGGGTTAAAGTGCAGCACTAAGAAGCTAAAGCCACTTCAGCATGAGTTCTATCCCCACCCCAGAGGTGACCACATGGCGTGCAGACCTCTCCTGACCCGCCCGCTGCTCCTCTCAGCAGTGTACTTCGTTGATTTGCCTGTTCTGCTCCCCACTCTGTCTCTGGTGAAGCCTCTCACCACCCCTGAGCCTCTGGCCTGTATCCCAGTTCTGTGTGTATAAATAAATAAATCTTTAAAAAAAAAAACAAACTAGCAGCCATTAATAATTTCTGAGGTTAAGGGGAGGAGGGGAGGTCAAGGGGACATAGGGATAGTGGTTGGGAGGAAAAGGACCAAAAAATCAAATAAAAAATTGCCAATGTCAAGGCTTGTAATATGGGGTGGGGCTAAGGGGTGGAGGCAGGACTCACCTAACAGGCTGTGGGAGAGGGCAGGCTTCCCGAAACCTGGGAGGGAGAGGTTTGAGAGGTTAGCGCAGCACCCCGC